AACTGAAAAAGGAAGACATAACCTAGGCAACCCTAAAGAAAATGACAGAGGGCCTTCCTTATCAGTAATTACACTGACTATAAATAGATTAAACACTCCAACTGAAAGTCAGAGATTTGTTAAATGCCTTAATTCAATAAAAAGATTAACATATGCTGGAAAAAAAAATAAAATAAAAAGTCAGAGATCTGGCTGGGCTTGGTGGCATACACCTGTAATCTCAGCAGTTTGGGAGGCCACAGAGGATGGATCGCTTGAGCTGAGGAGTCCAAGACCAGCCTGGGCAACATGGCAAAACCCTGTTTCTACAAAAAACATAAATAAACAGTAGGCGAATGTGGCAGCCAGTCCTAGCCACTCGGGAGGCTGAGGCTGGAAGATGGCTTGGCCTGGGAGTCCAAGGCTGCAGTGAGCTGAGATCACCGTACTCCAGCCTGGGCGACAAAGTGAGCCTCTGTCTCAAAAAAATCAGAAACTAGACAATACATAAAAAACACGGCCCAATTTTATGCTAGGCATAAGAGACTTACTTTAGAGTCAGCGACATAAATAGGTTGAAAGTACAAGATTGGGAAAAAAAAATATTCCATGCAAACAGTAACGAAAAGAGAGCCAGAATAGCTATATTAATATCAGACAAAATGGACATCAAGACAAAAATTGTTGAGACAAAACTCATATGTATCATTCTATGATGATGAAAGGGTCAATCTATCAAAAAGATATAGCAATTATAAAGGTAAATGTAGTAAACCACAGAACTCCAAAATACATAAAGCAAAAACGGACAGAACATTACAACATGAACTTCCAAAACTCAAGAATGCACTAACTGCGTTCAATCAGTAAAAACACACAAAAACAATTTTGTTTTTATTCTATTCACTTATCCTCTTTTTTCTTTTTTTCATTTTTTTTCCTATAGTTTTGAGCAAAACAAAAACAATTTTTTTTTTTTTTTGAGACAGAGTCTCGTGTCTCCCGGGCTGGAGCACACCTCTGCCTCCGGGGTTCCAGCGATTCTCCCACCTCAGCCTCCTGAGTAGCTGGGATTACAGGCATTCGTCACCAGGCCAGGCTAATTTTTGTATTTTTAGTAGAGATGGGATTTCTCCATGTTGATCAGATTGGTCTCGAACTCCTGGCCTCAAGTGATCTGTCCACCTTGGCCTCCCAAAGTGCTAGGATTACAAGTGTGAACCACCACGTCTGGCCAATTTTTTTTTTTTTTT